TATGTAAAGGTACAATTCCCAATGAGAAATGCAATTGTGTTGTATACCTACAATGTACCAAGAAAAGAATTTAATAAAAAAAAAAAAGCCATGAAGCTAACTAGAATATGTTTTTCCATACAATGATATTACTTACATCAAACTGTGCCAGAACTGTTCCAGTAATAAGCCCCTCAGCTAGCTGGATCATTGATTCCCTCAAGGAATGGTCATCTTGATGGACGCTGTCTTGTGGGGCTTTCTCAGGAATGTACTGAAAGTCTGGCTCATTTTCTAGCTTTTCTTCCACTACATCATATACAGCTAAACAAAACAAAAAGACATAGAAATCTTAATGAAATTTTTAAGAACTTACCAGATATGTTCTTTAACTTTTATCAGTAAAATAATTCATTTATGAGTAATTATACCAGATATGATTTTGTTGCCACTCTATAGGGACCCAGATTATGTAAAGGTTTTGATACACCTGTGGGGGAAAAGAGCATTCTTGGCCATATGCCTGAAAATGTCTGTAACTTGAAATGACATTTAAGAAGCACCTCTGACTAGACCTACCCTTAATTTGTGGGACCAAGGGCCAAAGTACAAATAGAAATCTACATACTAAATATTAGCTACAAATAAAATAAATACAGAAATAAAAGGAATACAGTGCTAAACAAAATATGTTCTATTCTCTTTCTATAAAACCTAAGAGGCCATATTTCAGTTTCCTCTTTTTTTTTTTTTTTTCATACTGGGGATCGAACTTGGGCCCTTGCGTTTGCCAGGCAGGCAGCGGAACCACTGAGCTAAATCCCCGGCAGGAGGCCATATTTCAAATGAGAATTCTAGGCAAGAATTCATAGTCACAAGGTACATGACTCCAGGTCTGTAACCCAACCTACCTATTTTCCTCTTATCAACTCTATTCTTTAACATGGAGACCTATAAACATACATATGAACAGCCTAACCCACATATAAGCTCTGATGATTCTCCTCTTCTGGCAACTATTGCCTCTCAGCCACCTTGCTGGCCTAGAAACATATCATGTTATCTACTACTGTAAAAAATGGACCAGCAGAAAAATGTCCCTGAAGGCCTTAGAAGTAGGCTTAGAGCTATTAGAACAGAGAACCAAAGGCTGAAAAAAGTGCTTTAGAAAGAGAAGAAGTTATAGATGACAGTTTGGCATGTCTACTAGGTCCTACAAAATCTTGAGTCTATTGGAAGCACAGCTGAACAAAGGGCAGAGCAGGGCCTTCTAAAATATGGAGCCAAGGTAGAAGCCTCTTTAACCTTGGTCTGATTGCTCCTCAGTTATATATGTATTTTTGAGAAAAACTAATTACTGAAATAAAGAATAAAAGACAAAAAAGTATAAGTATATTTTGCCTAAGAAGAAATGAGAAAAGAATAAAGATCAGAAAAGCAAAAGTATATTCTTGGCAAATACAATTTTAAATTTTAATTATAAGCTGCTTTAAGTAAAAATAGATATGACAGATCCACACTGAAAACGAATAGAAGTCCTGGTCCAGATTTTAACTATGAAACAATGTTAGAAAGATCTTTTACAGAACTGGGAATACAGCTCAGTGGCAGCTCTCTTGCCTAGCATGTGGGAAGCCCTGAGTTTGATTCTCAGCACTTCAAAAAGAAAAAGTATATTTTGCAAGAAGTAGGCCTTACATGGGTTCCTCTCCTAATTCAAAGCATAAATGAAGCAATGTGAAACTGCAAAAAGACTAAGCCTTTGCCATCATATAGACTTGTTCATATTGTGGCTCCAAACCAGTCATGAATCTGAGCAAACAACTCAACACATGTGCCAAAGTGTCTTCAACTTAAATGAAGAGACTCTTTCTATCATACTGTCTGGTATGAAGATTAAATGAGAATACACAAAAGGGATGAAGTATATAGAAAGCTTTTAAATCACTGTTACCTATTGCTATTGATATTTTAAGGTCTTTAGTACCTATTATAAGAGAAAACAAATAAAATGGAGAGAATGCTTTCCTTGGTCTAGAATTTAAGAAACTTTATGTGATAGAAAAATGCCTAGTAATGAGTGAATCACCTCAGTATCAAGTTCCTTGAAAAATCAAAATAGAATGTTCTGCTGAAGTCTTTTTAATCTTCCTAGAAAGCCAATTCTACGCTATCAAGGGAGAAAAACATAAAAGTTGATAAAAATGAAAATGCCAGTTTTTAGCCAAGAAATAAAAAGAAATGTTTTTGTTGTTTTTACTGGGGATTGAAGCCCAGAGGTACTTTACCACTGAGCTACATTCCTAGTATCCCTTACATTTTAAAATTTTAAAAACATGGTATCACTAAGTTGCCCAAGCTGGCTTCAAACTTTCAATCCTCCTCCCTCCATCTCCCAAGTAGCTGGAATTACAGACATGTGCCACCATACCCAGCTTGTTTGGTTTTTAATAAAAATTAACTTTCTTGCAAAATTTTGCAGAGTTGGGTATGAGGGACAATAGGCAGAATTCTAACTACATTTTATCTTTCTGTGGTATATATTCAACAAGTGGTAACAAACATAGCATTAGCCAAATATTACTGTGGCTAAAACGATGACTGACAGTAAACTGTTTAGAAAAAACTACACAACTATGTATATTGCTGGCATATTGAACTTTTTTCTTAAAGGAGACTAATAAAAGTATTCACGGAACTTGAAAACAATGAACAATGTCTTCTGAACACTGGCTGAAGACTTCAGAGAAAGGGGGAAGCATTTCTACTAAAATTAGCTATTGTTGAAAAACTGAAGGAGGATTAAACTTATTCTGCATAGGACAAAGTGATAGAATTAGGAACAATGTGAGTGAAGGAAAACCGACTTTCAGTTCAATTCATAGTTTAAGATATCCAAAGGTAGAATGCTTTGCTTCAGGAGCCAATGAGTGGTCTACTTCAGCAGGATGCTTTTCATGTTGCTGTAGAGGAAATTCATGCAACTGGCAAAGGAGCTAGAGCTTATGGTGTTTAATGTTTCTCCAAACCTAGGGGTCCGTGATTAAAAATTTATAAGTCAGATATCTGGATAAGGAGATTACAGGGTTAGGCAGGTGGACAACATCTACTGAAAATATAAAGATTAAAAAAATATTTTAACTATAGATTTTTATAGAGTTTTCTATAAGTGAAACAAAATTCAAAATTTATTCATCCGGTAAGTATTTATTAAAAACTTAATGCTACTAAAGCAACTGGAAAAGAGGGAGGCCACTTTAGCTATGATAGAATAAACAGAGAAAGCCTTTCTAAGGATGGCATTTTAGCAGAGACCTTAATTAAGGGTATAAATTATAGAAAAATCAAGAAGTTTGTTGAGTGTTCAGTACGAAGGGAATGAGGAAGACTGAGTTGGAGATAAAGGTGTCAAGAATTTGGATTTTTCTTCAAAAACAAATGAAAGATATTGTTTTTGAGCAAGAAACTGACATGACATGCTTTAGAAAACCCATTCTGGCTGCTGCATCCATAAAACACAGTAATATATATGACAAATTCCCAGTGCTACATAAAGAACTTACCATTAGGTCGAACTAGAAGCACAAGTTCCCCAGAATGTCTCTCACAGCTAGCTTTGATAAAAAGGACAACTTGATCATGGGTATGTTCTGCAATGTCCCAACCGTTGATCAGTACAACTTGGTCCCCTTCATTCAGTCGAGGGACACAGAGGTCAGCCTGTAATGGAATGTAGATAAAGTTTAATATTTGTATGAGGTTTTCTGACAGTAAAGGACAGAAGTTTATTTTTATATACTCTATAGCAGAACTAAAACTACACACAGAAAAGCATCTGTTCATTCATTCCCCTATTTAAAAAGGTAAAAAAATCTAGTTTTCTCATGAAGATGCTATTTTTTCCTTCCTCACTCAACAACTTCCTGATGATGTATTATCTATCTAAAGATCCAAGTAACACTGATGATTTCAAGGGTATACATATAGGCAGCCTTAACTTTGTACTGTCTACATATGTACAAATTTCAGGTACCATTGCTTATGTAGCACAAATCCCAACAACACAGTTCAAATTTTAATTACCATGGCAATTAACTGTGAATCACTGCATGAAGTACAAATTTTGCTGCTATCATGTTTCCCTGAAAATAAGACCTTGCCAGAAAATAAACAGCCTTGAAAACTAGAGATCAAAAATGCCAGCCCCAATCAGCCTATCTTTGTCTTACCTTCCTTACAGAGTAGCCACTGAGCAAGAGATTAGTATAGAAAAGAAACAAAACATGATTAAGTGGAATTAGAGAAGAAATACAAGACCATGGGATTGTTGACACTACTGCTGTTTGAGAGACTCTAGATAAGCAAATTCTTGGAAGTTATTTTCACACCACAGAAAAATTCAAAGGACAACAATTTGGAAGTGTATCCAAACATAAAGAGGATTATGATAATTTGTCAAGGCAAGAAAAGATGTCCACTCTGCACAGTAAGTTTTATGAAAAGGAGGCAAGTACCATTCAAACTACTAGTGACAAGTTTTCAAAAAGAAATTAAACATATTACTTCTCAATGTTTCTGATGTTCTCAATTATGGGATACTAAATATCAGTTCTACTATTTTTCATTTCTTTATACCTTTTTATAGAGCTTTTAATGCTTGGGCAAAATTTAAAAATTTAAAAATTATGAGAATAACTATAACTTTTCCAACTGATAATCAAGATCATGTACTTCCATCTTGCATGATCATTTTTATGGTCTTGTACTACTGTGTAAAGTGAGGACTGCCTATACTTTATTGACTCAAAGCCAAGTAAAAGAAATATTAAATAGAAATATGGACAGTGTGTTTTGGGAAGTCAGCAAAGAAATACATGACAGTCAAGTATGAAGGATGACAGGCCTGATAAAGAAAGAAATGATGGGGCAGGATCTTCCAAGAAAGTGAATGCCCTATGGCAAAGGCATGAAGAAACAAAAGAAAAACTACGCAAATTTACTATAAATACCGATTCCATAAATCCAATAAGTGAAAGGCATTGTGGAAAAAAGCACTAGTTTAAAAGCCAAGCTGTTCCTCTGCTGCTTATAAAATGTGTGATCTTAGATACTCGACACTCTGAAAATGGAACAGAGATATGTGTCCTGATTATTTTATAGTTGTTGTGAATATAAAAATGAGATAATTCTATTCAAGGGTTTAAAATCTGGAATATTAAAATTTAAGGTTATGTTCATTCCCATTGTTTGCTTTATCTCTACTTCTGTAGTGAGGTAGATGACAGATATTTATAAAATTCCCTCTGTGCATGAGCAGTGTGGTACTTCTACGTACTAATTTAGTTCCAAGTTTTTATAAATGTCTTTGGGATACCTGAAGTGAGGTAGAGTGGGAGCTAATGAGTGAAATTTAATGGATTGTAGGAGAAAGAGGTATCCTCTCATTACTTTATGAATACTATAGGTGGTAGAAAAGAGGAGGATCTATGTGTCAGAGAGGGCAGCTATGAGTTTCTCCTACTGTACCCATTATCAGCAAAGGAAACTCTTTTATACTTAATCTGCCTTTTGTTAGATATGTTCTTATTTGAGCTTCATTCTTATCTGAAAAGTCTAGATTAATTATAGATGACGATGAATTTTCTTAGAGCAATAGTCATTAGCTAAAAGATTATCAGACAGAGGGCCAGGGATTTAGCTCAGTGGTTCCACTGCCTGCCTCCGAAGCGCAAGGACCTGAGTTCGATCCCTGGTACAAAAAAAAAAAAAAAACACAAAACAAAAAACCCAAAGCTAAAAAAAAAATTTCAAATAGAT